TGGGTTAGTAGCTAACTGTAGGTCAAAATAAATCCGCTTTTTTTTTAACAAATTAAACAATTAGCATAAACAATTTTTAAACGATGAGGCATTATCGTTCTTTAAGTTTTACAGAAGGCCTGTCCTATTACTACTACCATTTTTAAGTAAGGAAATATAGAGTGCAAATATGAAAAAAAAAAGTAAATATTCAGTTTGGCATATGTCTGTGTAATGTATCTGGCAACCAGCGAGGTACTGGTAGATAATTGAGCTCGGTACAGAGAGGCCGACTCTGACAAGGGAAACAACTTGTGATGGATGAAATGAACGAAAGTATGACAATTAGAATAAGGTGGTGGGGAGGGAAGTAAGAGGAGGTGGGTGTAGGGAGGGGGGGGGCTGAAAATCAGCTGAACATTAAGTAAGGAGGTTAGGGGTGAGAATTTGGTGGGGAGGGCTGAGATGAGGGCAGGGGGTGGGGGAGATCCTGGAAGGCAGCTGAATAATAAGTAGGCAGGTTGTGGGGGTGAGGCCTCGGGGGCGGGGTGAGGGGAGAGGGTTGAGGTGGGGAGGGTTGAGGTGAGCGTAAAGGGGTGGGGGAATCCTGGAAGTTAGTTGAACATTAAGTAGACAGGTTGTGGGGGTGAGTGTGTAAGGATGAGGGGGTGGGGGTTAGATGTATAACGTGAAGGTACGGGAACAGCTGAGGTAGATAAGGCTTAAAAGGATATTAAAACCAGCAAGGCCAGACTTGGTGCTATCTTATCAAGTTACCCATTTTACATCCACATTTTTTGTGTGTACAGCCTGCGTGGTCAGATGTTTGGGCTGTGTACATACTCCAGGGTCATGTAAGGTAGTGGCGTAGCGATGTGAGTAGGGGTGGTACAGGGACAAGGTAGGGAAAGTAGAGTTGGTACAGGGACAAGGTAGGGGGAGTAGAGTTGGGGACAGGGACAAGATAGGGGCAGTAGAGTTGGGGCCAAGGTAGTGGGAGTAGAGTTGGGGCCAAGGTAGTGGGAGTAGAGTTGGGGCCAAGGTAGTGGGAGTAGAGTTGGGGACAAGGTAGTGGGAGTAGAGTTGGTACAGGGACAAGGTAGTGTGAGTAGAGGTGGTACAGGGACAAGGTAGTGTGAGTAGAGGTGGTACAGGGACAAGGTAGGGGGAGTAGAGGTGGTACAGGGACAAGGTAGTGTGAGTAGAGTTGGGGACAAGGTAGTGGGAGTAGAGTTGGGGACAAGGTAGTGGGAGTAGAGTTGGGGACAAGGTAGTGGGAGTAGAGTTGGTACAGGGACAAGGTAGGGGGAGTAGAGTTGGTACAGGGACAAGGTAGGGGGAGTAGAGTTGGTACAGGGACAAGGTAGTGTGAGTAGAGTTGGGGCCAAGGTAGTGGGAGTAGAGTTGGGGACAAGGTAGTGTGAGTAGAGTTGGTACAGGGACAAGGTAGGGGGAGTAGAGGTGGTACAGGGACAAGGTAGTGTGAGTAGAGTTGGGGACAAGGTAGTGGGAGTAGAGTTGGGGACAAGGTAGTGGGAGTAGAGTTGGTACAGGGACAAGGTAGGGGGAGTAGAGTTGGTACAGGGACAAGGTAGTGGGAGTAGAGTTGGTACAGGGACAAGGTAGGGGGAGTAGAGTTGGTACAGGGACAAGGTAGGGGGAGTAGAGTTGGTACAGGGACAAGGTAGGGGGAGTAGAGTTGGTACAGGGACAAGGTAGGGGGAGTAGAGTTGGTACAGGGACAAGGTAGGGGGAGTAGAGTTGGTACAGGGACAAGGTAGGGGGAGTAGAGTTGGTACAGGGACAAGGTAGGGGGAGTAGAGTTGGTACAGGGACAAGGTAGGGGGAGTAGAGGTGGTACAGCGACAAGGTAGTGTGAGTAGAGTTGGGGACAAGGTAGTGGGAGTAGAGTTGGTACAGGGACAATGTAGGGGGAGTAGAGTTGGGGACAAAATAGTGGGGATTGAGTAGACCTAGTTGAAACGCAAGTTGTGTTGTTAGGTTGAGAAGGGTATGTGTATTATGGTGGTATATTAGTGTGTGTGGGTATGAGTAGTAAAAATACACCAATTTAAATTTGGGTATTTTTACTACCAGTGGCTGTCTATGTACTCATCTGCAAATAGGTGTGTGAGTAGTATTGTAATATCAGGTTAATGTTACGGTCAGAAATGAGTGATATGGCTATGGCATAAGTGTAAGGGTAACTGCTGACATTAGCAAAATGTATGAGTATCTATTTAACATCAAGAACCCAACGCCACTATTTTTTTTTAAATATTCCATTTTTTATGCCATATAATGGGTCTCCCTACTATAACACAGACCCCTTGAACTCACACGACAGATACACACAGGATCGTGTAGTTGTGCTCTAACACACCCCCGCCTACAACACTGACTTCATTATGCTAATGATATGCATGAACAGCTCGTGAAGAGGTAATTTTACGCCGTGTCACGATTGAGCCGTGTTACAATATAACTGGCGTGTATGACGTAATCTTCGCGTTTGTTCCGTATACACTAGCACAAGGTAAAGTGGGGAGGGGGGAGGTAAGGAGAGAGAGAAAGAACTGGGAGCCAAAGTAAATACATAAAAAGTTGAGAGAGTGACAGAAGCGAAGAAAGAGATGCAGCTACGACATCATGGAATGCATTCATGTCATTCCTTCAGCCACAAACCCATACACCAGAACGAACTGAAGCGACCTCTAGAATAGGAGAAGATAACTTGTAAACTTTGGAGTGATTCGCTCCCCTTAGTTAATATACTGTGTGGGACTGAGGGCGATTTAAATATGCAGAGAGCGTCGTGTCAGTACACGGTAGATCAAACATTGATGATTTACATTGTCCTATAGTCCTACATCACAATGTCCTATAGTCCTACAGAGCTACATCACAATGTCCAACACAGTTTATGAACCCCTACACAACAGCTGTTTAGATCTACATAGTATGTTAGCCCCTGCACAGTATAGTATATGATAGTAAATGAACCCATATACAGTTTATGATCCCCTACACTGCAGCTACCAAGATCTACAGTGCATGAGCCTCCCCCCCCCACATACACAGCTTACAAACCCGTACATAAGTTTATGAGCCCCTACACAGTGTATAAGCCCCATACATAGTCTATGAACCCCTATACAGTTTATCAACCACCACACAGTTTATGAAACCCCACACAGTTTATAAACCCCCACACCACACTAGCTATCGAGACCTACACAGTGTGAAGCGAAACGAAAGCACACAATAGGTGCACCAAAGTTAGATAACTTGGGATCGGCAATGACATTTACAGCTTGCACCCGTCTGGCTAGCAGTTTGAAAGGGCCCAGAACACAGGGCATTGTGGGTATTACATTTAATTACAGCAAGGATGCCGTAGCTGGCTTGTAGTCTAAAGCATTTTTTAAAAACACACACACGAACAGAAGAGATCGTAAAATGGGGTAAATGGGCTGAACATGAGGGAAGAAAGTTATAGCTTGATCAGTGGTTGAGTTCGTTTGGGTGGTTTGGCGGAGGTCAAGACATACCCCCCCCCGCCCCCCGCCCCCCCCCCCCCCCCCGATATGATTCAGTGAGTTCAGTAGATGCGCACTGGGTTCGGCACCTTCAAAATGCTTACGGACTACGGAGTTCGATAATTGTAGCAGACTATTAAATCTATTAGCTACATAAATTAGTATTACTAAAATTCATACACAGATCTAGATCTAGTTCTACTGAAAAAAACAACAACAACAGAAGGCTGCGAATGAATAAATCCAGAATTTACATTTTTTATGTCTATTGTTTACATTTAACCACGTTATAATTATCGCGACTTAAGTATGAGCTGGGGCGCTATTTGAATTTATCAGAAACAGTAAAGGTAAACATTTTGAAAAACTTGGTCAGTCAATATCGTGATACCGTGCCGTAATGTAAATCCCATCACAAATATAACACACGATACACACTCTAAACCAGTGGCGTAGGCAGGGGGGGGTTAGGGGGGGGGTCATAACCCCCCCCCATAGACCCCTCGGTATATATAAAAAGTATGAGGGGGGGTGCAAATCGAAAGTTTGAGGGGGGGGGTGCAAATCGAAAGTTTGAGGGGGGGGGGGGTGCAAATCGAAAGTTTGAGGGGGGGGGGGGGGGGGGGGTGCAAATCGAAAGTTTGAGGGGGGGGGGTGCAAATCGAAAGTTTGTCCCCGGGTAAAAATTGGAACCCCCCCCCTTGAGACGATCCTGGCTACGCCACTGCTCTAAACAATACAAAAACTAAAATGTCACATTAGGTTAGGACTAGATCTACACCATTTGAATGGAAAACATCCACTTTCTGTACACATACGAATTCTAACATCCATATCCACACTGTTATTCAAGCCAAATGAAATATATCAAGAAATTCCTTACAATCAAGAGAAGTAATGAACTGGTACCACTAATAGTTACTTAGCAACAATAAACTAATTACAATGAGCTAACCAGTCACACTATACACGACCAAGCTGAGCATGGCATATCAGATTCTGTGTAATTAAGTTTCAAACAGGCGACTTGGGTTCTCCCCCCTAGCCAACATTGCTCAGCCATTGGTTCTTTTACTTCACACACATTTTTTTCTATTGGCTGAAGACACTGTTGTTGAAACAACCCGCATTGCCGAGGCCGCACAGAATAATAACATAGTCAAGGGAAGTAACCGTGAAAAACGATAGACGCTGAGTAAAAATTAGTTATCTGTCAGTATACGTATTCAAATTATTTAGTACAAAAATTAGTTAGAAATTCACACAGGCAAGTGAAGTAGCCGCGAAAAAATATAGGATGTTTAGTAAAAAATTAGTAAAAATTAGTTCTTTTATAAATATATTCAATTTAATTAAACCAAAATACTTCTATGCAATTTAGATTATGTAGACCATGTTACACGAATATGTTCAATTCGTCTGTATTGTTTGAAGTCCTTAAAGTTCTTTTATCCCACATTTAAAACAATGAAATAAACTTACCCGTCCTGTTCCAAGCTATCCACGTAATCGTCCTCTGCGTGAGCCGCGTACCCCGTGTCTGGTCTGTTGATATCTTCTCCCTCCCCGGGACCACGCCCGTTCCTCCACTGTGTGACGGCCACCGGCAGACCCTCGGGCGAGGCACCGAAGTGAGTCTCGTGCGGGTGTTGCCTCTGTCGCCTGTCCGACAGGACGTCGTGGTCAGAGGCGCTCCTGTCCCTGAGTGCGTAGGGGATGGTCTTGACCCCGTGCTGACCAGCGCCGCCATGGTGGTTGGTCACGAGCTCGGAGCTGCTTCTAGAGCGGGTGTCTTCAAGGGCGAAAGCTCTTCCGGTGGATGGTGGAGGGGTGGGTTGTGGTGGAGACGAGGACTGTCCGATGGATTTGTTCGTGACACTACCCGGCGAGTTTGCTGGTTCGTTTGTTGGCCTTGTGGTTGAGAGGTTGGGTGGTTGGTAGGATGTGGTTGAGAGGTTGGGTGGTTGGTAGGATGTGGTTGGGAGGTTGGGTGGCTGGTAGGATGTGGTTGAGATGTTGGATGGTTGGTAGGATGTGGTTGGGAGGTTGGGTGGTTGGTAGGAAGTGGCTGGCGCGTTAGAAGCTGGCGAGACAGCCTCTTGTGGCAGGGCAGGTTCGCGCATGAAAGTCGTGGCAATGTTCGTCTTTGGCTTGGACATCAGCACCGTCATGGGCGTGGCGCTAGGGTGCTGCTGCCCGCTCAGTCTCTGTGCCTGTTTCCTCAGCTCCGCCGCGTACTTATCCTCCCTCGGCGAGCTGTTCTCCCATTGGCTCCTCAAGCTCTTGAAATCTCTGTGCACGTTCTCCACCGCGGGGTCGTCCAGCTGCTTGCCCAGGGGTATGACGGTGATGCGGCTCTTCTCGTTGGGCGAGACGGGAGACCGTGGCGCCTCCTGTGCATTGCTGGGCTTGTTGTCAGCGTTCTGTTGGGCTTCACGGTACTTCCTCGGGGGCAGGGCTGGAGGGGTGCTGTCTGGGCTTGGGGTGCGGGGCACGGGGGGTGGGGTCCTTCTTTTAGAGGGGAAGTTCTGGTAGGTGGGAGATGCGACTAGCCCACTGTCCATGCTCGCGCTGAAAAAAACAAACAAATTACGTTAAGGCAGTTCAAAATTGTACAGTTGCGTCTCATGCATAGTTTATACATAGTTCTCTATTTCTTCAAACTGGCTGTAGTTTTTATCTATATAGGCAAATCAAAGAGCAGTTAGAAACATTACATTAATGATCACTACATATTTTATAATTATTGCTTATAAATATATAATTATTAATATAAAAAAATCACAGTGCAAAAGTGTAATTCGGAAGCTAAAAGCTGCACTATTCACTTTTTTAGTGACGACACATCAAACTAGTACAATAGTCTTACAAAATAGGTCTACATTATTTCGTAACGTTAATATCAACTACTTAATTAATTAGACTAAATTCCAACACGCTTTACTTCATAAAAGTACAACCTTACAGTTTAGTCCATGAATACACAACTAATAGCTTACCCCTGACAACAAAACAGTTTAGTTCAAATAGTACTAGATCTAGTACACTAGAATACCCAGATGTTTGGGCAATCCGGAAGTAACAATAGACAATTCCACTTTAACACCGTGTTTGTTTACATGGTCTGAGTTAGTTCAGTGTTGGTGTGTCAACATAGGCGATACACGAGGAAGCAAACACATCGTGGATGTTACACACACGAGATCCTATGTGTTCACTTTACATGCAGGCCACAACACATCTACACACACAGACCACAACACATCTATACACACAGACAAGCCCACAACACACCCACACCAACCCACAACAACACACAGACCAGCCCACAACAAATCAACACACACAGACCAGCCTACAACACATCAACACACAGACTAACCCACAACACATTTACATACACACCAGCTCACAACATATCTACACACACAGACCAGCCTACAACACATCAACACACAGACCAGCCCATAGCACACCCGTCACAACATCAACATAAGCTGACTTGGCCCTATTGAGTCACGCCACCCCACCCCACCCCCCCCCCCCCCCACTTTTCAACCCCACTCTCACAACATCAAACAAAACAAATTATCGCAATTAACATCATAATTAACCCACTAATTAATCTCTCATTTCGACATGAACTCAAACAACAGATGCTAGTCACTAAACCATCTTTATCAAACTGTTCCATAACCTTCTGAATGTAAACAGAATATTTCATCAAATGCATGCAACAAGTATCGACCGTCCCAAAAAATTCATGTACTGACCTTACTAGCTAATCCACTATTGTATTGACCACTATTCATTCATTTTTAAAGTTCATTTACAGAAGATAACATGCGATTGTATGAAAGCGATGATTGTGAAAGAAGATTTTAAAGCCTACGGTGTCGAGTCATTCACAGGAACCAAGAAAAGCAAACAGGAAAACGTCTCATTGATGAACTAGAACTATCGTGAATAAGATGTTCTTTTAACGCGCGACTGACTATAAATAGCTCAAGAGGATTTCCCGAAACATTTCCGCCTCAGCATAAAATCCAATGAAAAAAATTAAATCCTAAGTGAATCAGCGCACACTTCACTGCAAGTGGTTTAGTCATAGGTCACCACATCAACTACAAATATCAGCTGTTTCAAGCAGACAACTAAAGTTTTCAAATTAAATTAAATCCAGATTTCAGTTCAAGCTCAAAATACGAAGTGTCTATTCACAGCCGGCTGTGAATAGCCGTATTGGGGCTATTCACAGTCGTGACCGTTTTTGATAGATTTAATGTTAAAAATAATACAAGCTATACAAGTATACCACTATATCCCGACAAACAACTTAAAAGTAAATCCAGATTTCAGTTCGCTTTAAAATAATACAAGATATAGGACTATAAAAAACGTTATGTGTTGGGGAATCGTTTACAATAAAATATAATCAAAACATAAATATTGTAAATTAGTTTGAATATCTGGGAGGTTCATATACTAACCAGAATAAAATAAAAAATATTACAAATATTTTGAGTAACAAATAGAGTAGCCTACCTCAAGTTCACGTAAATATCACACATATCAAAATGTGCATGAAAACTTTAAGAAACTTAGAAATTTTTAATCCACAGTTCTAAACGTCGTCCATGATATAGACACACCTTTTGAATGTACCAAATCAAGTGAAATAAATGAAGCTTCTAGAACATGAGCCCTGTCTTAAACCCTGGTCAAACCAGGTGACTGACCACTGGGTACCCGACAATACGAGACATAATAAACCTCAAGTATACCAAGGTCAAGCAAACACTGACCACTGGTCATTAGATACATGACAATACCAACATAATAAACCCACACAATACGGGATGACGAGGATTACGAAAACACTGACCAGTGCTCATTCCATGACAATACACCTACACAATCAGAACGACGAGGGTCAAGAAAAGACCACTGGCCATTAGCTCCGCCACATTCCTCAAGCATTTGTAACGTGAATCCCACCTTGGCTTGCTACTATCTGACGTCACAATCTCAGTGGGAGTTTAGTCACGTTGATGACTGTCGCGCATGCGCTGATGGCGTTAATCTCGACTCATCAAGATGCGAGAAAACGAAACAAAACTAACAAAAAACGCCTTACACAATGCGAGAAAGTGTCAACTGAACCAACTTCCCGTGGCTTCTCGGTGTATGACGTGTATTTACGGTGACAGTCGGTAAATAGCTGAGGCCAAACCCCCACAGCCCGGAAACCATGAATGGAGTCCAGGATCACAAAACTGTTTGTGTTTGGTTATGAATGAATGCATTTTTTGAGCTTGTGTGTCCGCCCCGTCAAGAGGACGTGTAGACAGTGCAGTATTGGCTGGGAAAGGTGCAGCTGTCGGATGATTCGGGTTGTATGAGGTGGTCAGACTGGCGTCTATATAGGAGCTGTAGTTAGGCAGATGGACTGGTTACATGGGCTGGCTGGTACTACAAGTTGTGTGTGGGTGGAGAGTCAGAATGGTGTTGGTAGTGTTGAGAGCTGTATGTGGGTGGGGAGCCGGGATGGCGTTGGGAGCTGTATGTGAGTGGAAAGCCGGTATTGTGTTGGGAGCTGTATGTGGGTGGGGAGCTGTATGTGGGTGGAGAGCCGGTACTGTTTTTGGGAGCTGTATGTGTGTAGAAAGCCGGTATTGTGTTGGGAGCTGTATGTGTGTGGAAAGCCGGTATTGTGTTGGGAGCTGTATGTGTGTAGAAAGCCGGTATTGTGTTGGGAGCTGTATGTGTGTAGAAAGCCGGTATTGTGTTGGGAGCTGTATGTGTGTGGAAAGCCGGTATTGTGTTGGGAGCTGTATGTGGGTGGGAAGCTGTATGTGGGTGGGAAGCTGTATGTGGGTGGAGAGCCGGTATTGTTTTTGGGAGCTGTGAAACCGACTGGTACCTGAAGCTGTAGGTGGAAAGCAAGGATAGTGTTAGTGATAGGAGCTGTGAGTGATGGGAAATGCGATTAGCACTGGGAGCTGTTGAAAGCCGGGGAATAATGGAAACTGTGAGTGTCCAGTTGGACAATGATACAATGACCGAATAGCCAACGGCACACGTAGCTTTCATCATAAACTATAGGAAAATATGGTTCTACTGTAAAACTTCTACTAGCCTACAATAAACTATAGGAAAATATGGTTCTACTGTAAAACTTCTACTAGCCTACAATAAACTATAGGAAAATATGGTTCTACTGTAAAACTTCTACTAGCCTACAATAAACTATAGGAAAATATGGTTCTACTGTAAAACTTCTACTAGCCTACAATAAACTATAGGAAAATATGGTTCTACTGTAAAACTTCTACTCGCCTACAATAAACTATAGGAAAATATGGTTCTACTGTAAAACTTCTACTAGCCTACAATAAACTATAGGAAAATATGGTTCTACTGTAAAACTTCTACTAGCCTACAATAAACTATAGGAAAATATGGTTCTACTGTAAAACTTCTACTCGCCTACAATAAACTATAGGAAAATATGGTTCTACTGTAAAACTTCTACTAGCCTACAATAAACTATAGGAAAATATGGTTCTACTGTAAAACTTCTACTAGCCTACAATAAACTATAGGAAAATATGGTTCTACTGTAAAACTTCTACTCGCCTACAATAAACTATAGGAAAATATGGTTCTACTGTAAAACTTCTACTCGCCTACAATAAACTATAGGAAAATATGGTTCTACTGTAAAACTTCTACTAGCCTACAATAAACTATAGGAAAATATGGTTCTACTGTAAAACTTCTACTAGCCTACAATAAACTATAGGAAAATATGGTTCTACTGTAAAACTTCTACTCGCCTACAATAAACTATAGGAAAATATGGTTCTACTGTAAAACTTCTACTAGCCTACAATAAACTATAGGAAAATATGGTTCTACTGTAAAACTTCTACTAGCCTACAATAAACTATAGGAAAATATGGTTCTACTGTAAAACTTCTACTCGCCTACAATAAACTATAGGAAAATATGGTTCTACTGTAAAACTTCTACTAGCCTACAATAAACTATAGGAAAATATGGTTCTACTGTAAAACTTCTACTCGCCTACAATATTGTCAAGAGGGCTCTTGTGAAGCGACCATCTGACTGGATAGATTGTGCTGATTACAATTACCATCATTAGACGTACGTATTTATGCAACCCACTCGGATACAATGGCAGTAATAGCACACCTCGCTTTTTACTTTAAATGCCACCTATTATGTTTTATAGCCCCACAATTACAGTCTACATCCCTCTATGTAGGCCTATAACAAACAGTATTTAGCACCCATATATGGACATTTAATGTAATTCTATTTTAATTAGCATGGATTTAATTATGTCCTAATAATTAACATTGTTCTGGCTGACTCGGCACATCTAATTTGTAAACAATGCACAATCTTATCTGCATTGTTTACAGTGGATTATATACACACCCTGGTTACATTAAGTACCTTCCTCACGTTCTACACTAGTCAACACATTCCATCCTACACACAAACAAAACATTCAGACACCCCTCTACACACAAACCAACAGA